GTAATTGCTACCCACTCAAATGTAAAGACTTACTTCAATATTTTCTACAATTCTTGTGACTACAGATGCAGTAACTGAGTACCAGTAAGACTCCCCTTTCTGTTGTTGTTCTTTCTGAAAGAGAAAACAGGGATAAGCATTACTAAGCACTGTAACAGCTCGTGAGAAGACAATGTAATTTGTCATATTGAAATCATTGTCAACAAGGAGAAACAAAAAAAACCCCAAGTTAAGATATTTAAATATCTCTGACATAAGTGGGACACGCGACATAATGGGGAGGGGTGGTGGGTCAGCAATTGCACTATGTCAGCATGCATAAATCAAATTCTAACTCCATTTCTTGTGCATTTGTTCTTCCCTTACTAGGAGACCTAAGTACAATCCATCCACCACAGAGGTTTCTTCATTGTGAAACATAAGTGTGACTCACTTTCCATTTTTCTTCAAGTGCCAGCAGAAGGGCTTTCTTGTGTTCTGTCTCATGCAACTTTTCCCKTTCCTCATCAAACTCCTCTCTTTTTTCTGGTGCACCAATTAAGTGCAGTTTTGAGACAGATATCACCCATGGATCCACATGTGGACGATAAAAAGGGATCTGTAGTGTTATTTTGCCAATGAAACCTGAATAAAAACAAGAGACACACTATCAGATTCCTGTGAAAACATATTTTATCACCCTTGAAAATYCTCAAAGAAAAAGTGGTGTAAGAAACAAACAGAAATAACCTAAAGCTCAAACAGAAATAACCTAAAAATCAGGCTACCTTGTTTGTTCAAGCCTCTGACTCACAGGTAAAGGGTCCTCCAAAACATGCAATACTTCCTGTTCAGAAAATATCTATCCTGCTACACAAGCAAAATACAAACCTGCCTTTACTTCAAACGGTAATTCCAGTTCCTTTAAGGCATCTTTTTTTAGTGGCAGGTTTTCCAAYTCAACAGCACCTATACAAAGCAGGAAAAAAAGACAAGTCTGCTAAACAAAATTAGATCAAAGAAAGCCAAATTGAACAGTGTAAGCCTAAAATGACTGGCATTGTGGTTTTTTAAAAAAAGTTAAATGGCATTTAATGAGAACAGCCAACCTAACATTTCAGGCTGTGTTACAATCACAATGGTTACTTAATACACTTAATGGTTAATTTTCTTAAGTCACATACTTAAACTATTTGATGAGGTCATCCAGAAGCAATTTTACGTCAGGTTTTAGATCGGAACTTAGTTGTTCCGATCTTTCTCTTAGCCACAGAGAAAACCTACCCTTTATTATCTTTTCAAGAGATACTTATTTTCTTAGTATTGTGAAAAGCACACACAGAAAGGCCTTGGAGTATTGCAAAACATTCTCAGCAGAGGTAGCAGGTAACAGCAGCAAACGATGAACAGAAAGCATTGATTTGAGGACTCTGTACAAAGTACAAAACTCGTGGAKGCAACATGACACAAATCAGATTACAGGGGAATAACTGTGAGCACCAAAGGTAAGGGCTGCAGGACACTTCCTGCCACAGTCCCTCAACAAGAACAGTTACTGAACAGTATCAAGAAAAAAATGACACTCCTATGACATAAATTCAACATTCTAAGATAGTTAAGCATACCTTTGAAAATTTTATATAAATTGGTTTAAGAGTGCTGATAAAAAGCAACAAAGAATGTAAGATCATTTACTGTTCATTGTGAAGTTCTAGCACCAACCTCTGTATTTAAAGGGTTTATACAGACATTAAACACAATATTAAGTGCTTATTTCTATTCCACCTTCCAGTTTTTACAAAAATACAACACTCTTCTAAATCACACTATGAAAACAGTACAGAAAACACCACAAAGCCTCCCTCACCCTTTAGAAGAGCCACAGAAAGCTGGTCTGTGTTCAGGTTATTGACGTATTTGCCCAAGTAGGTGTTGAGGACCCAGGCTACCAATCCTTCCAACATGACTGTCCTAGAAGAGGAAAACTAATGTTCTGCTGTCATTTTCTGGATTTCTCTTCCATAATTAGTCTTGGTCTGAAAGAAAAAAAAAGAAAATTATTGTCTGAAATATCCGCTCTCAGCAGAGTTGACATAACTGTCACTTCAMTTCTTACTGTGATCTATCGAAAGAGGAGAAAAAGCACTAAGGATGATTTCTACCTTTAAAAAGCTCTATCTTTTGCCCTTTAAGTGTTGAATCAGCTTCATATAGAGATCTGGTGATTTCACACCACTCCCATTGGCACATAAAGCTCATCTTTCCACCCTTTTTTAAACCAAAATATTACATTTTGTTGCAATAATCAACAAGGCCAATCTACAATCCTCCAGAAAAGAAAAGGCCAAAATTCCACGTTGATCTGAAGTTTGCACTAGGCTCCTTGACCTCTGCTGCCCATATTTTCACCATGTTGGGTTTGGCAACCCGGTCTGAAGCAACAGACTGGAGCCTGCTGTAATTTTGCAGAATTCTTATATGRCATCTGTGAAGTAACTCACCCTACTCAAACCCCTTTTTGGGAGTGTGTGTGTGGCGGGGGGGAAGTAATCAGATACAAGCCCCAAAAATAGCTCATCAACAGTTACTCCAACAGGTTTTCAAAGTGGTAGCAGATTCCTGCACTGAGGAGAGAAAAGGCTACATTAGGGGAACACCACTAGTCACATTCCTGAAGATTTCCCTTCGCTCTTCTCCAGCCATTTCTGTTGCAACTTCTGTGGTAATCAGGGCATTAAAATCCCAAAGTCCCTGTTMAACCTTTTAACCACTGAATTGCAAAACTGCTCTTAGATCCTGCAAGGGCAGGGTGAAGCTGCTACAGTAAGGAAAAAGGCATGCAGGTCATGCCTTGAGGTTATAATGGAATAAATGTATCAATTTTGTGTTTTAAAARCTCTCCCAATCCCACATACCTGCCTAAACCATTGAATTCTGCAAAACAGAAAAGCAAGATACACCCTTTATTTACACCTGACAATAGAAGGAAATGACAACTTCAACAGGCACATTTTAAATTTTATATAAAGATATAGTTTTCTCATTATGAAGTTTGCTTGATTTTCGGCAGCCCCATTTAAACTTTTATTTCTTTTTTAAAAGGCAGTGAAAATTTTTAGCTAACAGTTAAAATTAACTAAATAGTTAAAATAAATAAAACTAAATAGTTGGTAAAGAAATAAAACTAAATAGTTAAAACTAAATAGTTAAAATTAAATGATTAAATAGCCAGAACCAAGCAAATAATGAAAGGCTTTTTTTAAAGGCTGAAACTATGCTGTCMTGAAGAATGACAGAAAATAGCACATGTAAGTTCGATTCAACTMAGTCACATGACTTCACATAAAATGTGTTAACAGTTTTGCCTTTGCAAAATTTCTCAACCGTTTTCAAAACCAATACTATTATTTCACATAATACTCAGCATTTATGTTACTGGGCCACCAGCTTATAGTATAGGTTTTATTCAAATAAAAGTGACAAGAAGCTAAAGATCAAACAAAAGCATATACAGTCAACTTTGTTACACTGTCATTAAAAAAAAAAAAAAAAAAAGCCAATTAAAAAAAAGTATCTACAGGTGTCTGAGGCCAAAGCAGAGGAAAGATCTTGAAGAAACATTTAATGACAGCAGAGACCAGCATCTGAGGGACTGAAATCCTCCGGTGCATGAACCACGACTGAAGCCACCCTAAGAACTCCAAGTACATCACATCCTTAACCAAAACCCATGGGACACAACTAATCATGTAGGAACCTTTCAAATGTTCTAAGGCTCTTATATTTTAAACTCTGTAGTGCACTGCTATGCCACTAGGAAGAAAACCAAGGCATGAATGTTCTATGACAGCGTTTTAATTTCCTTAACACACACAGCACACAAAATGAAACTGTCAGGGTGAGAASCAAAGCCCAGACGAGGCCCTGGCTCAGAGCGAGCTCCCTTTTCCCTAGATAAGGATGCAATTTTCCGCAGGCGGGGGCAGAGCGGGCCCTGTGGCCGCGGGGCCGGGGCAGGTGCCAGGGGGGCTCCTGCAGCGCCCGTCACCCCGAACCGGGCGGGAAGGAGCCCGCCAGGGACACGGGACATCGGCAGCAGAGACCTGTGGGCTCCACCGCGTGCCGGGGAGGAAGCGAAAGGTCACCTTGCCCGCCGGGGCGGGAGCAACCCCGGGGAGCCCCGCGGGAGCCCCGGCCAGCGTGAGGCGGCGARCGGCCCGCGCCGGGCGGGGAGGCCCTCAGGGACCCCCAGGCCCCACGGCGGGGCTAAAACCCCCGCGCCCGGGCCGGCGCTGCCCTCCGCGCCCCGCCACAGCCGCRGCAGGACCGGGACGCACCGCGGCCGCCCCTCGCCCACCCATGCCGGGGCGGGGCGGGGCGCCGCGAGGGGCGTGCGGCAGGGAGGGGCCCCTCAGGCCGGACCCGCGGAGCGGCAGCGGCGGCTGACGCAGGAGGGAAGGGCGGCGGGGCCGGGGCGCTCCGAACCCCCTCAGTGTCACCCCCGGACCCCCCTCAGGAGCCCCCCCGGGACCCCCGGACTCACCTGCGCGCCGGGAGGGGGGCGGCGGGCGCGCGCCGGGCGGTGGCGGGGGCGCGCCCGGGAGCGGGAGCGCCGAGCGATCGATGGGGCCCGGGAACGCCCCCGGGGCGGGGCCCGAGTGAGGGCGGGGAGGGGAGGGGAAGGACGGGGAGAGCGGCGGGGAGGGACGGGAAAGGAAGGGACGGGAGGAACGGGGGGGGAAAGGAGGGGAGGGGCCCCGGCGCCGCCACCGCCCGCGGAAATGGGCGCAAACCGGGCGGGTTTGGGAGCGGCGCAGCGCCCGCGGCCCGCGCCCGCCCCTCAGAGCATCGGCCCCTCAGYAACARCCKCACGGACCGCGCTTGGYRAGSTGCGATACACRACCTGTGCGGTGAGAGAGCCACGGTAGAAAGCAGAATTTTGTTTAATGAAGAGCTCAGGAAACTTAAGAATACATGTACTTTTTTTTTTTTTTTCTTTAACTCTATGAGCAAATGCAAGCTCGTTTTTCCTACTTAAGTATAAAAAAACTTGGAATTTCCCCCTATGACAACTCCTTAATTTGAAAATTCAGTAAATTACTGTAACAGGATCCTCATTTTTAATGTTTTTAAACGTCGTCAAGAATCTTCCCTTGCTGCTTCAGTATGGCCCCAGTTGTGGAAGGTGACACAGAAAGAATTGGTAGACAAAAATATTACAGTGCTAGAAGTTCAAAGTGCTGTGAAAATAAGGTTCTTGTCCAAATCATTCAGTTCTATAGTTGTTTCAATATGCCCACTTTCAAAGTCTTTTCTGAAAACTACCTTCAAGTGTTAGTTTAATATGCATTTGTAAAAATTTCTTCATGGTAGAACTACAGACCTGTTTGTCAATTCTTCGTTCCAGAAATAATATCAGCAATTAAGCAATAAGCTTAACATTTGTATTTTCATAATCTGAATACTCTTCTGTGGCAATAGAATAAATGTTATTCCAAAAGATTGTTTTACATCTCAGGCCTCAGAAATAAGCACTGTGTCTRTCTTGAGGTAGATGAGGACAGGTCAGTGGGAAGGGAAGTGCAGTGATCATCTAGTCCAGCAGTGGTTTTATGTTGTAAGACAAGAGTTATGTGTCACTGCATGACTTCACTTCCATGGGATTCAGACTCTGGATTGCAGAGTCTGGTTGAACACAGCCACCACAATTGTCAGTTAAGTCACAGAAGTAAAATACAATGATGGGAAGTGGGTTCCTAAATATTGGCTTCCAAAATTCAATATTGGCTTCCACTTCATTCAAGGACAACCTCCACTAATTTTCTGTAAGATGTGGTTGGAGCTCCAGCGTCATCAAGCAGTGAAGGAGAACAGGATTTTCAGGTTCTGAGGTTTGAGTCAATTTTATTTATTACAGATGATGCTCTGCCATGTCGAGCACCTTTGCCCTGAGAGCAGTGAGCTATCTGGCAAAGATAATCACAGGGATTTGCTCTAATTGTCACTGAACACGGGGAGAATATTTTGTATTTATGGTTAACCTCAAAAATGAGGTCAGATCAATTGGGAAAATGTTACATCAGCCAGGACACAGAGGTGTCAAACTCTAGAGTTGTCAACAAAAGGAATTTACTTCCTACTCCAAGATAGCAACAGTTCGGTCTAGGTTCTCTTCTAAAACAAACTGAACTATGTACAGGCAATGAAATGCTCTTGTTTAAACATAGCAGTTGTCTTTTTAGTTGTAAAAAAAGCTTGTGCACAAGATGTCACTTCCCGATGTCCCATATGTACTTCAGGAATTTGGTCTGATCATGTGAGAAAACARACTGTAATAATAAAAGAAATATCCAGGAGGATGAGGGAAAGTATGACAATGAAGRTAGGGAATAGGAAATTGGATACAATAGCTTTAAAATTCACATGAAATGGATGATTCCTGAGCATGGAAAGRATGATAATTTAACTCTAGTCCCTTAGAAGTGCTGGTTACAGTGATGTTCTTGACACGTGGTACACCTAAACCCAAATAATCATCACAAGAAGTCTCAGGAGAAAAATTAATGGCATAAAGTTCAAAAAAAGTTCTTTTTCAAGTCTCTTAAAGGTCTTTTTAGGGTATCACAGAAGAAAAGGAAGAGTTTGCCATTCCGTTTTAAAAAATTTGAATGTTTTTTCTTTTAAACTGCAAAGTGACTGAAGAGACKTAAAACTTTGAAAGCATCAGTGTCCATATTCATCTGAAATTTCAAATCTCTRTAAGAAAGCTACATTTACCATARTGATTGTTTTATRAAACAAGCATTGTTCGATTAATTTTATCAGTCAATCAGCATTGATCTGTAATTTCCTTTAACTGGTTTTCATCCCAGCATCTTGAATACCCAGAGGAACCTTATTTTCTTCTGGAAGTAAGTCTTGAAGTAAATTGTCCTCATTTTCCACTGCAATATGAATTTCAGTTTCGYTTTTCAAGGCATTTTCTTCTTTTGAAAGGGGAGTTTCTTCCCCTGTGGGGAAATAAGAGGGAGTATTTCCATAATCCCTGCTAGCTGAACTGTTTTGCTCAGGGCACTGGGAGCTGCAGTCTGGGCTACAAACTTTAACAATACACGTCACATTCACCTGTGTTCCTCCGCTACCAGAATGTTCTGTCAAATAAACACAAAACACATTAAACAAGGAAGAATGAGCCCAGAACAGGACAGTTGGATTTTTTTATCCAGCTCTTTGACTTAYAGTTAAAATAGCTATTAAATATCTTTTTGTGTCACTCAGTTTCATCAAGATGGTAGAGTTGGTTCTGTAGTATTTTAGTGGGTTTTAYTGGTACCATAAAATCTACATATCACTAAAAAATAATAAAGCTACCAAAATTAATGCAGAGCCCTGGATTCCGTGCCCATCTGTTGTCATTTCCAATGCTTATGAYAATGTTCTTTTGTTACTGCTCCCTTTGGCTCCTACTCCCACTCACAGGTAAAAGCCAACCACCTGATCCCCTAYTCCCTAAATACCTGTTTCTCCACTGAGAAAATTCTCTCTTTACTGTCTCAGGATGACAACATAAAACAATCACTTTCTCTTTKCAAAAGTTACTAAATTTTCTCTCTGCTGAACAGGACTCATATGTTTTTTCCCACCATTTAAACTTCTGCTAAAAAGACTTGTAATTGATAATCAAATTTCCAAAAAGGTTCTGGATCATTCAGAATCATTCCTACCTGAACTTGCAGAGCTGTGTCTGTCTTCACTGTGGAGTTTAGAACCTTCTGGAGGTRAATGTTGCTGCTGAAATCCTTCTGGATTTTTCTTTACATCATTCCTTTGGCTTATTACACTGATGCTTGCAGATCCAGTTGGATTATTCAGGATGCTACTGCTGGACCCAGAAGTTTCCAAGAGATGCTCCTGTTCAGAACTCCTGGAGTTCTGCAAGTCTGTATCTCTCACTTTTTTGGCACACTATTTTTTTGGAGGGGGAAAAGGTGGCAACATTTGCAGAGAAATGTGAAATGTTAATCTTTCAAAAAAACCCAACTAACTAAGAAATACTGGTCAGTATTTTGGSAGCTAAAGAAACCCGTGATGATTGGAACTAGAGGAGCGTTAAGGTCCTTTCCAGCCCAAAACATTCTATTATTATTTTAATTTGCATAGTGATGAGTGTAAGTAAAATTCCTAAAAGCTCATTAGGGGCTCAACAAAAYGAACCCATCTCCTGAAGGCACCCGCAGCACTACTCTGATTAGGGACCAAAGGCTGTAAAACCTGCTTTTCTGAACCCCACCGTGTTTTACTGCTGTTCTAAGCCTCATGTAAAGTGAGGATAGGACATTATGTGGCTACATAAGGTACATCTTGCACCCTGGCATGGGGACCCAACCACCCCATTCTCACTCCAGTTTKCTTTCTGCTGTGCAGTTTTATCTGTAATTAAGTGTGAGTGAATGATTTCTGTATAACTTCTAAAGAAATGAAAGAGATGGGAAGAGAGGACACTCACCAAATCTCCTTCTGTAGCTGGTGCAGAGTAGACAAGGGCTGCAAGTGAGCAAAGGCAGTTCATCAGCACCCAAACCTGTCCCAGCTGCACCCTAAACTAGGCTGAGTGATCCCCTGCTTCTGGAATAAACTCCAAATGTACATTTATTATACACAGTTTGAAAACATTGAAAGCTATATTGTGGTAATTTTGTGACTTTAATTAAGCCAGGAAGCAAAGAGAAGCATCTGAAGGAATTTGTAATTTTTCTTGTATAGTGCCAGTGAGAATGGGTATTGATGACCATAAATCATAGTCATGTCTGTTTAATTATAATACCTGGAAATGTCTAATATTTAAATGATAAGTACCAAATATTTAACCAGCTTCAGTAGAAGCACAACTATTGCACAATTGTCCAGCTCCACAAGGCTGTTGTGTGTTTAGACAATTATCTAAAATCTGAGGAACAAGACAGACTTGAAGAGAGCTGGCATCTTCTAAGACACAACTTCAGTCAACCACCAAGCTCARGTCAATGGGAAATAAGGTGACAATTCCCAGTTTTTGCAGATTTTCTTGTTTTCACTTCATGAATCTTACCTTTCTTTTTGGAGATTAAGCAATATCCCAAAATACCAATTATCAAGACCAATAACAATGGCCCTGCTACTGCTCCTGAAAACAAATACAAAGGAGAAATTATTTAGCAAACTGATCTAACAAGGGATCTAATTAGTTTTGTAGTTCTTGTCCACGGCTACAAAAGCTAAATTCACAAGTATTGTGTATGTCTGACATTCACATTTGATGTCTGAGCTGTCAGATACCAAGGTCTCACTTCAGTCACCACCACTTCATCAAATTGAATTCTCCTCTCCTGAAAAGTGAGGACAGACTTTTGGCTTTGGTCACAAAAGGTATTTCTCTGGGCAAGCAAGGGTCTGTCACATACAAGGCCAGGTAGTTCAGAATGCTCCTAAACACCTCAACCTTCTGGATGGGCTGTGAACAGAACACAACACATCCACACCTGGGAGTGCTGTCAGGACCTCCTGTCTCAGGAAAGGCTGACAGAAGGCTCCAAAGATCTCTCACCAGGTCAGGTTTGCCTCAGTCCAGAATCTAAGATATGACTTTTCCTACAAGCTATAGCAGCAACTCTCTGGAAATGTCTAATGCCTTGTATAATCTGGAAATGGCTTATATAATCTAGTTTGGAGTTTTTTTAGAAAGATTTCCAGATTTACAAGGACTGTAGAATGCACTGGGATAGGGCAGATGTAAAAGGGGATCTCACTACAAGCAGTGACACATTGAATTAATTGAATTGAACTATTTTGAGGTTCTGTTTGGGTATAGGTGGCTGGTCTTGGAAAGAAACAGAGAACTAAATATAAACTTGGTTCCTGGGCAGACAAAAGTGGCTTTAAATGAGTTAAAGCTCACCAGTGATGTGGGACAGGTCAGGTACAGAGTTTAATATGACAGGYTGAGTTATTATTTCAGGTTTGTGGGAAGCTGAGCTTTGGTTCAGGAGTWGGTTCAAAATGTTGTGAGGCAGAACTGTGGCTGTTCCTGAGTCACTGCAAACAGTGTCATTCYTGCTGCTCCCAGGAACAGCCACTGATTTACAGCTGCAAGAGACAGAAAGAGAAATTAGGAAAATTAAAAACCCCTGCAAAGTTAAGGCTGCTGTTGGACAGAACACTGGCTCACATGGTGTGGGGTATGCAGCTGGTGTTGTAGGATTCCTCGGGGGAAAATGTGCCAGGAGGACAAGGTTTGCATTCCGTGTCTGTGCTGTCTGTCCCTTTAAACAAAGAGGAAAACTGCAGTTACTCATCTGGTGAGGAGCAAGAATGAATAATCAAGGTCTGCAGGAGATCCTGGCAGTGATSCAGAGRCAGTGCAAAAATACASCCTGCAAYTGTCACAGAAGATACTCACTTGAASCACYCAAGCCAAAGAGATTAAYCAGCTTTTAGTTTGGTGCCCTTAACAGCCAATCTCTTTCAAAGATTAAAAGCCCACCAAAAGGTTCAATGTGGTGCTGCAGATAAAGCATGAGCTATTTCACTGCTCCCTGACTGACTGACTACCATACTCTTGAGTTCTGCATCTTCGCAAATAATTCCCAATTTTTTTTTAAAAATTAATGTTTTGAATTTTTGAAAATTATTTATCATCTTGAGACAGATTATCAGAGTGGCGATTTCAATCAACTAATAAAACCAGATAAATCCTGCAGGACAGCATGAGGTCATCATTATTTACAGTACTCAAAATGCCACCTGAAGCCTTGTTTCAAGGATTTAAGGAGTAATTAAGTGGTCTTGAGTCTCAGTCACTTTTACAGAATAAATCACACAGTAGAGCAAAACAAAGGAAGATTAAATTGGATTGGGAACCTTATGATGTATGACACTAAGAGATTGCAACATGTTGTCCCTTTGGATACACCTGGAGAATACTGTTACTCTGGTTAATGCCTACTTGCTCAGAATGTAAAATTAAACCCTAAAAAGAATGCACAACTGTAGGGAATTAGGGCAGAGTAAATGTTCAGTAAGCAGAGTGTTCAAAATTAAATTACCTCTTCTGGAAACTCGATAACCTTTGCCGCATTTTTTGTGYGCTCTACACACCTCGCAGTACTCGTCCAGTTTGGAAACGCAGTACTTGTGGGGTGGGCAGCTACAGATCCTGTCCTGGGACCTCGTGCATGTTTGATTCTGTACAAGCCCTGGTTTTAGAACAAGAATAAAGCAAGATGTCAGTGGCAACATTTAAAATCATAGCCTGCAATAGTTCGAGTGAGCATGAGGTGATGTTACTGGTGATACCACAAGTTTTGGGCTTGCACAGAGCCAGAAAGCAAATGCTCCAATATCTACAGTTTCTCTTTCTAGGCAAGAAGAAATTTACATCTGTAGAGTAAACTTAAAACTCTGTACCTGCAGTGGTGTTATATTTATCATAACCCCAAATATGCCTGTGTGCTCACCACTGCAGTAACTGGGGGCCATATCGAGATTTTGAGTCTGTGCAGATCGTGTAACTGTATTTAAAGTGTTTGGAGATTTTACTACAGACATTTTCATATTGTAATTATCCAGCTTTGTAAGATTATCTATTGTCTGTAAGATTATCTATTTTATCTTTGTAAGATTATCTGTTATCTGTAAGATTATCTATCTTATCTTTGTAAGATTATCTATTTAGATGATACCTTTCAACTTAGACTATATCCTTAAACTTACTTCTCAGTGAATCAAGTGTACAATGTTCTACAGCAGTTTCTATAAGAAATGATGGAGAACAGCCTGACTGAGTTTGTTAATGCTGTTTGTTAATGATCTATTAGCCCAAAGTACAGGTAGGTGTTGGTACAATGTTCTACCTTATCTTCTKTTAAGCTGCTTCAGTGAACACAACCAGTGCGCTCCCACTGATGGCTGCTTTGCAAAATGAATAAAATTAAGATAGGAATGTCACAACCCATCTTTGCTGTCTCCACTTCAGCAGACAAAATGAGAATGTAAATGTAATTATCCATTTACCCATGTCCAGGTCAGAGATCTTAAGACCTGACCTTGATTGGACATTATAAGAAGGAACTTATTCTACTGATGGCATTTGGAATAATTTTAGTGATGTAGTACCTTAGTCTTCAATAATATAATATTGATCTCCCATTTTTAGGACTTAAAAAGAAAGCCAGGACTCCCTGCAAGACTTTTTCCTTTGTTCTTATCCCCAAATCTTATGCGTTCCAAAAGCATGAGGACTGTTCAAGTGATTGGCAAAATCTCCTAGTTTTCTTAGGAAGAAAAGACAAGGTTAAACCAAGCCCAGCCCTTGAGCAAGCCTCAATACTAACCCAAGCCTACCTTTCCTGCAGGGTGGTGAGCAGGCAAAGCACTGTGGAGAGCGATTCCAGATCGCTGTGTAYGTTTTGGGTCTGCAGGGGCTGCATTTGGTGTCCACGGTGTGACTGCAGCTCCCTGTCCTATATTGACCTATTAAAAGAAAAATAACCCAAACAGAGAAAGCATCTCACTGGAAAAGATCACTGGGAATTTTCATTCTTAGCTGTACAGCCCTTTGCCTTCACTGACCCTATCAGATTGGGATCTTACAGCATCTTTACTGATGTAAAGGAGGACWGAATGTCTCTACGGGGAAGGTCTGATTTATGTCCACCAGTGTTTGACCTCTTTTCCTACACTCAGTTTAGGAAAACTGGATTTTTTGAATTCCAGCCACATTCAAAACATTATTGCCTCAATCCTGAACAAAACCCCTCAGCACATACTCAGGGGCAGCTACCACAATAAATAAACCGAACATTTYACTTTCACAGCAGCTGATTCCTGGTGGGCACGGGGAGGTTTTTCACACCCAAAATCAGGCATGTGCCAGAATGAAGTGCCTGGGTGAGGCCCTTGTTGCCTTTACAGGCAGTGAGCAGAGAGGGCAAAATCGAGAAACATCACAAACAGACCTGAATTARAACTTCACCCCTTGCCAATAGGAAAGGAACACGAGCTCACTCTTTCTCCCTCACCTCTCCAGCCAGCCCTAACAGAGCCAAGYAGGGACTTTCTGAAACTCCTGGCATTTCAGACAAAGTCAAAAGCTATCAAGGTAGTTTCTCCAAAGCTTCTCACCACCAACAGAGTTTAGTGGTGGGAACAGTAAATATGAGCTCCAACAAATTCATTTTGGAGAAAGGAAAACACCTCAGTTGCCATTTCCCTTTYGAGTGAAAGGAGAAAGATAAAAGTCAATGTCTCATATCCTTTACAGAAATACCCTGGAAAACATACTCAAAGCAGAAATAACACTGAAAAAAAAATTTGGATCTGCCTGGAGAATCTGTTTTTCAAAAGAAGAGGCCCTGGAAATGAGCCATATGAATTATGTCCAAAGACTTTATTTTTCCCTGTACTTCCTTGAAGCTTTAAACTCTGTATCTCACATCCTGCTGATGATTTAGGCTGATTTAGTACTGAGCAGCACATAACACAACAGAAAAGTTTTACCTATGAATTATCATTTTCATCCGTCATGAACAAAGGAAGTTTGACAGATCTATCTAGACAATTTCAGTTAATTCAGAAACTTCAGCTGTTTCAGCAAATACTGACTTCCTGTTTAAATTTCCGGATCTGGCAGAAACTCAGCATTTGTGGACACAAATTTTCTTTGCTCAGCATGTAATGAGGGAAAAAGGCAGTTTCATTTGCTGTATCTAATATAATAATATATTTACAACTTGTTGCAAAAATTGTACTACAAAAATCTCTCAAAAGAACATTACTACGCCCCAAAAAAAACCCAACCCCAAAATCCACAATGACTTTTGCTTCCAAAAGGCCACTAATAACCAGCCCTGGAGTGTAAGACATGGCAGCTCAGAGCAGACAGTGTCTGCAGTCCTGWCCCAGTCTGACAGAGCTCTGCAGTGTCTGATTTACAGTAAAACACAACAAAACTCCCTTAATGAGCAATGATAGATTTAGCTGTCCAATGGAAAGCCCCTTATCTAAGTGATATTAGCATAGTACAGAAACAAAGCTTTACTTTATGCCCTTTTTACAATGTATTTGTTATTACTGGGCTTGGGTCTGTTGCCTGATTTTTGTAATTCCTTTAGTGAGCTGTTGCTCCCCCTCCAATGTTGACTAAAATCACTTTAATTACTTTAATGAAAACCTGATGCAGGAGCTCTGCTTACGTGAGCTYAGAATCCACCTCCTGGTAAGCCCCAGCCATGTTAACCTTGTAGAATTCCAATTCTGATGGATTTTGCAGTTACAGTGTTACATTTTCTTTGAGGAAGGACGCATTACAATAGCAAATATCTGATGTACTTTAGATGTGTAAGTAATCAGAATACACAATGACCATCTGAAAATGGAGTGAATTTGTCTGTGTAAAGTAGTTTGAGTTGTAACCTACCTGGAGGGCATTGGCTGCAGCATTTATTCAGTTCTTCATCATAGAATTCAGTGCTGGGATCGTTGCATTGTGCAGACTGTGGTGTATACGGCAATGAATATTCCTAGAAGAAATCAAAGGGAAGTCATGAGTCACGAATCCATTCTGACCCCAAATTTGAGACCCAAAAGAGACAAATACCTAAAGATTAGTGCAATTACTAGCACTTTCCTTTCCGTGTAGCCCCAATGAAACAAAGCACAGCAGATGCCAAGAGGCTGCAGGGCTCAGGAGCTGCTTGTGACTGTTTTGAGGCTCCTTTGTTTTACAAAGATCCACCACCATGAACAAAGTGATGTCTCCAAGTTTCAGGGATTAGCATCACCCTGGTCACTGCTGCATCCCCCAAAGCAAAGGGCTGAGTGCCTCATCCTCAGCTGCCATGGCTCAAAMAACATCTGACAAACACCAGAGAAACCTAAATTCCTACCTGTGGGTTCGTGGGAGAAACATTTACTGCAAAGTGACTCAAAAACTTCAGTCAGTCTTTCCAAAGGAAAGGATAAAAGGCTTTTATCTTTCCAGATACTCTGTGATTCCTTCCTGAGAGGGAAAGGCCTTGATGTTTTGAAAATGATGTCTCCAGAAATTGCACTGCTGCTTSTGAGAAGCAGCACCTTTGCAGAAGGTGCCAACGTGCAGGGTAAATGCATTAGAGGCAATCATGAAATACTGAGTGCCCAATTTCACCTCACACTGATCAGCACAGCTCAATGGTTTCGATGAACAAGTGTCAAATTATTTGACGACTTGGCGACAATTTTCAAAGGTAAAATAACACTCACTTAAAAGAARCCTCCTGTTAGGTAAGACAAGCGTAGGAGTTTCCTGTTAGACCAGAAAGGTGCTCTTTAAAAATGATGTGACACTGCTCAGCTTTCTGCAGTCTGGAGAGATTGCTCCATGCATAATCTACKCACAGAGGAATCATTACTGAAAGGAGAAATCAAAACAGGAACCAGCTCTTGGGAGAGTGATAATGAAAATATCCTTCCTCCTTACACAAAAACATACTGAATATCTATTGTGTCTTCACATTCCTGGCAAAGGAGACTAAGGTTTCCACCCTCGACAATTGCTTAAAGGGAATTAATCATTTTCTTATGCAGCTCATTGAAATATTCTACCTTTTCTTTAGCTGTGATCAGAAACAGTATTTTGCCAAACTACTCAATGGTCACTGTCAAAAAAACCCTTTTCTGGGAAYGTGAAGGCAGAGAAAAGTCTTGAGTTTAGATATCATAGGATGGACAATGATAAATCATCCTGTTTGCAAACTGAGCTGACACTAAAAATCTGATGAAGGAGAAAAGGGCTCTGCTCTTGTCAAAAGCATTTTCCACTGAAGTTACTTTTTTACTAAAAGAGAAAAGATCAAGTGTCATCCCATTTTCATAGTCACTATGACCAACTTCATTTAAACAAGTTTTCAAGAGCCTTTTCAAAATATAAAACTTCACTGCAAGAGCAGACATGGAGAAAAAAAAGGAGAAATACAATAAACCACATCACAAATTATCCTACTGATGAGGTTTTCTGGCAAAAAAAAAAAACAAACTTATCTCATGCTCTTCACTGTCTGTTGTAAATCCTGCCCTGTGAGCYACAGACACAGGAAAACCTGTCGGTTGCTGGGTTCACACCTGTTTCTCTGAAGTTGTGCTCTGAAGGATCTCTCTGCTGTCTGATACAATCTCCCTGAAAATTTATCTGATGACCTTTGGCTCTCAGTGACTTAAAACTGACAATTTCTTCCCAACTGTCCTCCAAAAACATTATGGGAAACTAAAAGGGACTTTTGACTGGCCTAGCTACAATTTGCACACACAAAGACACACTCGAGCTCCTCCTGGTTTGCTCTGGAAGGATGCAATTCATTTAGTAGCTACTCCCAACATAAATGAGTTCAATCAAAGCTGTCAAATGTCAGAGCAAGTGCAGGCCTTTTACTAGCTGCAGAACACTACTGGATTTCTTTGCTACAAGACCCAAATTTTGTAGCAAAGTCACCAATCCTAAAGTCCAAGTTGAGCCATATAACATKTCTGACTGGCATCCAGATCCATTGGCTGCTTTGGACTGAAAAACTGATAAGTAGAGGCCAGATTCTATTTCACAGTTTTTGCATTTTGCTAATAYTTGTATCTCTCACAAGTCTTTATTTTATCCTCTGTTTTTTTTCTGTGATTCAATGTTCTACCAGCTGGTTATGTAAAGAAAAACTGACCTGATGCTGCACATTTTGTATTACAGCCTTGGAGCTTCTCAGTTTAGGTAGCAGTGTCTAATGGCAGYGGATTTAAAAGAAATTTATATGGACCAAATTAAGACTTTGGAAGACTTTGTTTAATTTGACAGGTCCAAGTAGTAGTAAAATGCCTCATCTATCAGTAGAGGTGCTAACATTCTTAAACATTAAATTTAGTCTAGCKCTATGCACATCAAATTAAGCAATACATTTTGGCTTAGAAATGGGTAAACGATGCTTGTCTGACTTCATAACTCACCAAGGAGATTTTTGCAATGCCTCTGCATTAAACAGTGCCTAAGAAGTTACAAACACGAAGTCAGTGACTCCAGACTCTCAGGAGTTTCTGCATTGTTTGGATCATTTTCCCATTTGCACTACAGAGACCATTAAGGTGACTTAATTTGTCYCTGGAGAGGGGTGGGCTAACAGCAATCTGCACATCAACTGAAAGGACTGTATGTATAATTAAATTTAAATGTCTTAAATAATAAAAATAGAACATGTTAATGCAATGGATGAATATATATRAATCTATTCACATAACATTCATTTTCACTCAAGGCCATTTATACAAAGATATTTAAGCACACATTTTAATCCTAATTCACATGTCTACATTTCTATTGGTCTCTTTTTCACACATTTGCCTTCAAACTTCAGCTGTCAGTCAGAGGAASAGAAGAGGAACTACATCTGTGTGCAATGTTCTTTGCACATTTAAAACCACAATGAAGTCACTGAGGCCTCTGTTGTWAAATCTGTTTCCATGGAAAGGGCTTGAGGTACAGAGACACTGTTTGCTGAGTTACCAGACCTACTGAAGACAAGAAAAACAGAATTCTGTCTAAAATATTTAAACTTGTCATTTACAAAAATAATTCTGTTGAAGTTTAGTTAACAGAGGAGAGCATCCCCTAAAGCAGCTGGAGTTGGATCAGGCTGTACCAACTATACTCAAACTATAGAATTTCTTTCAAAGCTGCTTTGCTGCACATTTCTCTCAAAGATTATGGTCCATTATATGAATTATTCTCCCATCCTATATTGTACTTCTGTAAAGCAGAAGTCCTTGCTCAGCCACATCCTAACAGATTTACAGCTCCACATCCCCCTTCCCTGAGAAAACAACGTTTCTTTGCTTACTGCCAGGAATTCTACTTCATTGCCACTCACCAGCAGAGTGAAATATGAAAACATCTTCCCAGAATGAGAAAGCAGGAGGATGCACAGAATATGGAAGCTGTTCACAACATGTAAAAATTATAGAAGTCCAAGTTTGTAGGAAGACGATGTATATTTTATTATATATGTATTTGGGAAAGCATACACATTTCACCAGCTCTTCTGTTTGGAAACTTCAGGCTATTTTTGATAACTCTGGTGACTCAATTGTTCAAAATGGCAAAAATAATGTTCAGTTCTTGTGTCTAACTGCATAGGGACTGAGGCTGGGACCTTTGAGAATTTCAGATGAATGAGAAAAAAACAAGTAGTGTGACTCAAGAACTATTGCTTTGCCAGTTTGTCTCCCTCAAAAATAAAGYAAGTTTCCTTTAACAAATYACTGTTAAAAATTGATATAACAGTMATGTTATTTTCCAGCTCTGTAGCAGATGTGGTATTTCAGAAACTACTGTATCTGCTTTTCTAGCTTACATAGAGGCTTTTTCTTATTTTGTCACAGTGCAAAAGTGAYGCTGAAAGTTTCTGTCATTGTTTCCATCACCATGTTTCAGCCATGTTTACAGTGAGAGGAGAGCTAATTCCTTTAAACTGAAGCCCCTTGTTCAGCATGAAGCATGGCTAAACTTGACRCTTAAATTCTGGTGATAAGTTCTGCAATAATTCTGAGACTCTCTCTTTTCTCTCCACTTTACACTATCCACACAGTAAATCAGGCTCAAAACACTCTCACCTTAAAACCAATGCTGAATTAAAAACTAATGCAAAATGGTTAAAATAATTATTTTAATGTATTAACAGCTCATTCTAACACCCAGTACTCCCTAAAAGACCATTGTGTAATTCCAGGTTCACTMTGCATTCYGACATCCTCACCTGGTTTCACTGAACCTTTGTCTTATCCAGCCTAAATTCCTATGATTAAATAAACATGAACTAACATTGATAACCCATGAGAACAGAGTGACCTACATCTCAGCAGCATCTCCATATTTATCTTCACACTCCTGGACATTTTAAAATCAGACAGAAAAGTGCTATCAAAACAGTAGCACAGAAAACACAGAGCCAAAGGCAAACATCCCAATGAGATCTTTGGCTGATACATTTACAAACCCTCAGCACCAAATAGAGCTACAGCTGGATGTGGAACAGGACAGCCACAGCTGCCATGAAGGGGAACAGTAACAGCTGCACAACATCAGAACTTCACTGCAAATTGAAAGGCTTTTCTATTTAAATAGGGAAGAGCTCTAGACAACGAACGGAGCACAACAAGTTCTTCCTGTGTGAACAATGTAAGATAGATGCGGGTTTATGCTCTGCACTTTCCACGACACTCACCACAGTTTTTACAAACATTCAAACAAGCCCGCTAGATCAACCTATTTCCCATGAAAACCCATGATTTTCAGTGGTGAAAATGATGAAATTAATCAAATAACAACGATACAGACCAAGGGCACAGGCTGAGCTTTAAAGATTTACGAGCGGGACTTGAAGTTGCTGTGAAGATCACAGCGAATTCAGCGCAAGCCTGAGAGGTAACAAGAGAGGGACAGGTGACAAGGGACAGGCGACAAGGGACAGGTGACAAGGGTCGGGAGACAAGGGGCGGACAAGGCGACAAGCGGACCGCACCCACAGCAGTGAGACGCAGCGCGGCAGCATCAGGCGATGCCCGCTGGTGTTTGCCCCGTTACCGTTTTTTTGCCCCATTGCCGTTTGCTTGCCCCGCTAGCATTTGCCCCATTGCCGTTTTTTTGCCCCGTTGCCGTTTGTTTGCCCCATTGCCGTTTGTTTGCCCCGGTGCCGGTTTTTTGCCCCGCTAGCATTTGCCCCGTTGCCGTTTGCCCACCGCCCCAGAGCAGCGCCCCCCGCCCGGCCCCGCTCACCCGCCCGGCCGCGGCTCGGATCAACCCCGGGATCAATGCCGGGATCAGGACCGGGATCAGCCCCGGGATCAATGCCGGGATCAGCCCCGGGATCAGCCCCGGCAGCAGCGCCCATCGCGGCCCCATCGCCGCCGAGCTCGCCGCGGGGCGGAGCGGGAGCGGCCCCAGGGTGGGTCCGGTCCGGGGCACCGCCCCGAACCCGGCCGAGCAGCCCCCACCGCCCGGATATCTCGGTGTTTGTGCAGTGTCTCTTCAGCCCCGTTCATAGAACACACCGAGTTGGATCAGCAGAGTCCGGCTCMTTCGGCCCGCAGCACGATATCCATTAATATCTATTGCAGCATTCCAATATCCATWAATACTCACCATTCCACTCACTCGTGTGCCACACACAGCCAGGACTTCAGCATAAATTCAGCCCCACTCCTGGGTAAAACTTTAATCCACGAAGAGCTCTGTGATCTTCAGATTGCTTTCTTGCAAAAATATTTCTTCTGAGACTGATATATGTACTGAAGTTGTCAACAAGGAAACATTCACGTATCAAACAGGAAAAGTGTGGCCTTGGCTTAAAATCCAYGTAATTTTTAATTCAGAGGTTGCCAGCATTATTAAACCAACCAACTATAACACATCCAGCAGGTTACAATGCATATGGTTCTTTTAGAATGCTGTTCCAGTAAAAAAGATTAATTAATATACAGAGTGGAAGTACACAATTACAGTCATTGCAGAACAGCCCTGAACAATCACAGCCATAAATGTGGTTATTCAGTTTGTGAATTCACATGTTGGTGTTCTCTAAAATTAAGTATGTAGTGAAGTTAAAGTAGATGTGGAAGAGGTCAACTAAATTGACCAAGGCAGTGGAGCATCAAACTTGAGTAATGTGAGTATTACATGAGTAATATGAAAAGATGGGAACTCATCTTGGAGGCTGAGTTCAATCAAAGCTGAGATGCAATCAAGAATCACAAAAGCAACTTGGTTGCAAAAAAAAAAAGCAACTCACTGACTTCTGTAAGGCAAGAACTAGTGACATTCACTTGAAGTAGAGGCTAGTTTAAAAGTGCTAGAAGTCCTTTACAYAGTGCATGATATCTGTAATCAGTTGTCACAGGTGCTTATGGAGGGAGATTGTCCTTGGAAATTCAAAAGAGAGAAGAAAAAATAATTGTGATATGAGAGAATAACAAAGGCTGAGTCCAACTCTTTGACATCCAGTGCCAGCTGTCACTGCAGAACTATGATCAATGCAAACAGCAGATATTGCCTTCCTAACTAATCCCTTACTGTGATTGTCAGGGRTGAAATGTTGGGCTCAAACTCCTGTCTGGCCCAAAAAGGTTTTTTATGCCCTTATGTTCTTTTTGTGTGCTCTAAGACASAAGTCACTGCAGCTGCCACCACTGTTATTACTGTGCTCTGACCAGAGCAAAACTACAAAGCAAGTAATGGGTTTTGTGGTTCCTTTTTTTTTTGTTGTTAAGACACACTTTGTCATACTGCTCATTTTCCATTGTCCTGTGCAAAAGTACAGTCAGCACTATTACATCTGCAGCTCTTGAACAAGCAGCATGAAAGATTTAAAAATAGCAGAATATATGTCAGTTGGCCACCAAAAAGGTTTGTTTTTAAAGGATATGCAAATCAGTGTCACCCTGATGATTACGAACAATTCTAAAACAAGTAGATATTAACAATGTTATAGGAAATAACTGCTGTGCCTCTATTTCAGTCCTTTTTTTTTTTGTAGAAAAATAGTTGGTTTTTTTTCTTCAGAAAAAGAAGAAAAGAAACTCTTTTCACAGGCTCCACATAGTTCATCCAATAGCCAAATGTTCAGCTAGTTTGGCTTCCATCAGAAGAGGCTGTTTTGTACACTTACTAATGATTTGATGTAGTCAAAAACAAGAATCAGACTTAAAAACCTAGAAAGAGCAGCCTAAAGTACAGTGGACTTCAATTAGTTTTCTTGGCCTTTTGTTTTTAGAGCCTGTGTGGCACCTTTTGATCCTATTTCCTCATGAAACATGAAGTCCACAAACTTGAGAATTATGTTCCTATTAGAGAAAACTGAAATCATTGCCATTTTCAATCAGGAGTTGAGAAAAATTAAAATATCAGGTGTTGCAAAATATATAATAAAATTGGATGTATTGGAATARAAACAATATAAGAAACACAGCTGAGTCTCAAGCTTGACTCAGAATGCTGGCCAGAATTTTCACAGCTAATAGAAGTAACCAGACAGATTTCAATCCATTCCTTCACACAGAAAAAGCAAGCTGTGAAACCTCAGCTGACATCCAGATGTCCTCTAAATGATGCAGTTTGATTCAAATTTGTTTCCAGTATGATACTGGGAGATGAGGAAAGAGAAATATTTGATGTCAGCTATGAAGGCCAATGGTTTGGATGATCCTCTCCTCCATTAGATGAAATAGGTTCCAGCCCTGAATGTGTTTCAATGTTTTCCCTGAGTTTCCCAATATCCTAAAGCACAGTGTGTTTGCCTCCCTTGTCATAAATTCAGCCTTAGTGTCACACTGGGTGATTCTGTAGTTTCCCCCACTGTCTCTGTGGGTTGTCACTTCTCAGTGGCAGTGGTGGGGTGGTGAAATTCCTTCCCCTCCTCTTCCACAGGAACCATTACATCAYTCCCTGGACACGACTCTGTCTCCTGCTCTGGGTAGTGCATTTCCAGCTCCTCTTCCACGCTTTCCTGGGTATCAGTGTTGCTTTCACATCCTCTGACAGCACAGTTCTTGCCACTGGGCACTTCTGAAACGGAGCCCACGATAACCGTGTCRGCCTTCATGATGTAGAGTTTCTCTGAGGAAGGAAAAAAGGTATTGCTGAGTGTGGTGAACAGTCACTGTCACCCCAGAGATGGCTCCTTTTCATAGAATATTTTTACTGGGGCTCTAGGAATTTCAGATGAAGTAGATTGGGCTTCCATGGGATGAAGCCACTGAGCTAGAGGTGGGACTGCAGAAGAAAGACAAAGCAGAACAGGCAGAAGATATTCACAAGAATCTGTTRGAAGAAACAATTAATTGGAATCTAGAAATGGAGAATCCAATGTTTATGCTCTTGCTGTTTCAAGAAACAGCACCAATTAAAATGTGGTTTTGGTAAGGATCAAGGTAAGGATCAGCCCTGTACAGAATTTCCGGGGTCTTACAGTGAGCAAAGAAATTCGTTTCTTCCTAGCTGAGAATAAACTACAAAATTTTCTGGGGTAGACTTGAATCTTGGGTGCAACTTGTTGTCCTACTCCTTCACAGTAAGGTAAATTGGGCCTTTTCAATGGCTTGCACCACTACACTCAATTCAGAAGATGCTTCACAACAGACACTGTAGGTCACAATTGCTTGGAGATATTTGGATATGGTAAATCAAATCATCACATTCATCCCAATCCAYCACTCTCAGTAAAAACAGAAATGGCATTTAGTGAGGAAAGGTCAGTTATTGAAACATAACACCTTGAAATAACCTCTGAATTGGGTTTGGAGGCACTGCCATCGTGTCTCATGCAGATGTGGTCTTAGGTAACAATTCTCCTCCCCGTGAACGAGCTCCTTGCCTGACTTTATCTCCCACCCTGTGCCATGGTCAAAGACTTCATGGAAATACATGGGAGACACATTTCAAGGCAATTATTATGAAACCAGAGAAGAAAATGATAGCTAAGTGCAATTCTCATTCAGTATTACAGGCATCACTTTCCAGCTGACATATTCCAATTTCTTCTGTAAAATTTACATCTTTTAGAATGAAAAGGAGGAAGAAGGGAATTTTCTGTCAAATTCATAATGACTAAGGCAAACATGAAAAAGGAGGTGTTATATTCATATGAATAGATTTATGTGTGTCAAAGATTTATGTGTGGGAGATTCAGCCCAATCTTTGTTAGGAGATTTGGACACTTTGCAGCTTACTAGCAAACTTGGAATGACAGYATGTGTCATGTTTGAAATTTTGAAAAAAGAACAAGAGAAAAGGAAAAAAAAATATTTCAAGACTCACCAATTCTGTTRTTTGTGTGGTCTCTGACTCGAGAATCCACAGGGCACTCTGGGGCACTGCCACTGCTCAGTGTCACATCAGTCACACTCCGATGAGGGCTCCGGGCTTTGTCTGTGCTGCACATCAAATTATTGTTGGTTTCCACAGGGAGGGTTCTGTCAATTAACTTCTCCTCTTCTGGCCTGCTCTCAGTGGTCAGGATGATCTTCTGTCAATACAAACAGGAGAGCAGAAATGGGGTGAGTGTAAAAACACTGCAATAGCTCTACAGAATCCTCCTGTGACAGACAGAATAACAGAATATTCTTCCCTCTGTCACAGGGAGTGAAACATTCCAAAGTGCTAACAGGTATAAGAACTTTGATCTAGGCTCCTGAATGACTTAAGGCCATATTTCAAAATAATGTTTGTAAGCTAAATACAGAGATTCCTCATTATATTTTCAGGAATATACCTTATTTCCACTGAAGAAATTATGTTTTAGCTACCTCTTAGACTTTGCAAAGACCTATCRTGTTCCTGTGGAAGAACAGAACAAACCAGAGGTTGAACTGATTTAACTTCAAAAAATAATTGCCTCAGCAGAATCTCGGGTGGAAGAAAGTAGCTCAGACTACCTATTACAAGAAGAATTAATCACAAACAGTTGTTTAAAAGAGAAGCCAGAATCTGAGAGAAGTTAAAGGTCCTGCCTCTTAATTTTCTGGTGGTTCTGATCTTTTTCTGCTTCCACAAGGTTGGGAAAGAAAAAAAAATATTTTGAAATGTGCAGTTTAAAACCCTTGCCCATGTCTGACTCACCATATAGGCAAGAGTTGAAGCTACTCACACTTCAGGAATTAGCAATGACAATTATRATAGCTGACTGCAACCAGAGTGATTGGAAAAAGTAGTATATTGTGTGTGTGGATGCACAACATTACCACATTTAAAAGCAAACTCATTTAAAAACAAATAAAAAAATAAAGGAGCAGTTTAAAGAGTGGTTTAAATCTGCACATTTAAAGATAACAAGCACAATAAAATGAGGAGTGGCTGTAATTTCACTGACAGAAGGGTAATCAAACCAAGCTGTGATGATTTCAGCAGCTGAGGAACTGCTTTCTGTT